ATAGGCAAAAATCAAGAATAAAGGCGAGGAATGTTTTATGTGAATGTTTTATGTACAACAGACCCAAAGTGTAATATGGCTTGGAATCTGATGCCATTAAACTTTCCAATGTCACGGACCCTGAGCTTCATTTTTTCTCCTCCATCACTGGCCTCTTTCTCCCTTCCAAATAAACTGCAGCTTCCACAGCAGGGAGAACTTTATTGTGTTTGGACTCTAAATCCATGTGAACACAGTCCAGGCTGAGTCCTGGTCAGATCAAGAAGCAAAAGCCAGGCAGGAGGCACTTGCAAGCATGTCTGCAAAGAATGTTCTTGATCCCCTGACACAGGCTACATGTATCCGTGAAAGGCCCTGGACCTTCCACAAAGACACAGAGCAAAAATCCTCACCCCACATTCTTTTCATTAGTCTAGCTGAACTGTTTCTTTTAAATAAAAAACTCTGGTGAAAGGGAGAGGAGGGCCAATCCAAGGGATGTTGCTATTTAAAAAAAAAAAAATGTAATAACGTACCCAGAATCCACTTGAAATCGATTTTTAATAGATTGTTGGTAAGGCGTAAGGTTGACTATGCCTGCTGCTATACGATATATTTGTGGATTAATTTAATGAGCCTTTACTGGTTATATCTACAGGCAGGGGTCAGAGATGAATTATAATTTGGTATATAATCTGGTAACTTTCAAAAACTTAAAAAGTCTTGATTTGTCTTTGATAAAGAAATGGTTTGTGTCAGAGACATGCTTGAATAAGGTAAACTAGTGTCTTCCAAATTAACTTTTGAAAATGGAATAATGAAAAAAGTGGAGACATAATAAATGTCAAGTTTCTGATCGTAAGTCCACAAATACAAGACTAGTGATACTTGTTTTGATGTCCCACAGACTTTTAAATCCAGTCAGTAAGAATGTATGAGGTAACCACTATTTTCCACTGTCTTAGGTACTGGGAGGCTGAGATAAGACATACAATTTCTGACAGAGTTCCAGACCAGTTCTAGCTCCAAAGAATTTAAATCACCTTCAAGACACTATCTTGTAATTTAATCTCAAAACATGCCAGTTTAGTAGATGCTAGACAAGTATAATTATGCAGGCTAGAATGTCAGGCTGCCTCAGGTTCTTAAATCATCTAGTGTTGGGGGAAGGTGAGAGGGAGACCCCAAGCTACAGCTCCTTCACTGCCTTCCTGGGAACGCATGAACAAGTCATTTATGGGCTCACTCTCCCTCACCAGCCTCGTCCAGTCTCCAAAAGGCAGCCTGTTGTTTACACTCTGTCTGCCTGGCCTTTTCCTTTGGTGACCCCCGCCTTCCACGGAAGATTGGCCTCTTCATTCTCCCAGCCCTGTTCCCTTGTGGCGTTTCTTTAGCACACCGCATCAGGACACACTGCATCGGGACCCTGTCATGATTGAAGCACATATCCTGCTACTCTGTGCATGGACTGGCTAAGTCTTATTTGTTCCAAAAGTCTTATCATCAAACATAGACAGATCTATTTTCTTTCTGACTGAAAACCTAAATATTTACAGACTTCAAGTGTGCCCTTTGAATAAGTTTTATTTACCTATAAACAAGGCAGTCACTTCTCTTAGTGGCATAGACATCACTTGCCTTAGTACCATAAGCCTAAAGAAGATCTTTAAGTCACAGTCTGAATCAGGGCAAGGAAGATATGGATTATGAGGGCTGAAGACAAGTGTGGTACCATGTGACGTCCGAGTTCAGGCCAGGTGTGAGAATCACTGTGAGGACCGGACTAATGATGGAGAGACCAAATGCTGCCCCAAATCTCTCATTAGGTCCCCAAGAAGACAACTGTATTTTACAGCAACAGGAAAATCAAGACCGTCAGTACCAAAGAAGATGGGATTTTAAAAAGGTGAGATGGAGAGCTGGTGGGGAGAATTTTTAAGCAAAGTTAATGGGGTTCTCCAGAGAAACACAACCCAATAGGAGAATGAATATATACATAAAGCCTGAGAACCAGGAAAGTCAATGGTGTAAGTTCCAGTTCAAAAGCTGGCAGGCTCAAGACCCAAGAAGAGCTGACATTTCAGTCCAAGTCCAAAGGCTGGAAAGAACCACTGTCCCAGTTCAGCAGTCAGGCCAGTGGAGCTCCTTCTAGCTCAGCTTTTCTCTTCGATTCTGGCCTTCAAGCGATTGGATGAGGCCCACCCACACTGAGAAGGACAATCTGCTTTACTCAGTCTACCGATTCAAAAGTTAATGTCACCCAGAAACACCTCACAGACACCCAGAAATCACATTTGTGTCTAGGCACCCCACGGCCCAGTCAAGTTGATTTAACTTTGACCGTCTCAGGGCTAAAGTTCAAATTCACAATTCAGGACAAAAGAGCCAATTCATTTGACTCACCCCAAAGTCACAGTGCCAGCTTGGTCTCCTGAAAGATGGAGCTCTCAGTCACTCGGGAAGAACCTATGCATTTTGTTTGAGGTGGTCATCTTGAGGAAGTGGCCTCTCACAGTATAATTCCACATGATCAATGGACTTTGAAAAAATTATTATAATAAAATGACACAGGAAGTATCCAATATCTCTTTTTGTTAGCCCAAGCATAAGGAAGTTTGTATCTCATGGCATCTGAGTCAGAGAGAAGCTTTCCTACTCCATCCCCCTTGCTGACAAATGAGGCAGCCTGAGGCTCGGATCCCGGGTAACCCACTCTCTATGCCAGACAGAAATAAAACCCAGGCCTCTTGAAGCCCAGTCTAATTTTTTTCAATATTCTACTGGGCATTTTTGTCTACAACTTAGATTCCTTTAAGAATTGAAAGTGGTTTAACAAGCAATCTTGGGTCAAAATCTGCAGCGTAATACCTCATTGAAATATTCAGGTGTGCCCCTAAAGTTTAGTGGTTAGAACTAAGGCTCTTGAGTTAAGCTGTCTGGGGTCAGATCACAGTACCACTTTACAGGCTGGAAAATGTTAAGCAAAAGTTACTTTGATCTCTCTGTGCTTCTGTTTATCTGTAAAAACCAAGATAACATTAAATATGAATACAATGCCTTTGATTACAGGCTGTGCAACGACTCTGCAAACAAGCCACTGTCATATCCCTGTTTTCTGGTTGAAGAAACTGAGGCACAAAGAGATTTGGTGACTGGGCCAAGGTTACACAGCCTGTGGCTGAGGGATGGGGACGTGAACTCAGGTAGCCCAGATACAGTGCGTGCATGCCCACTAGCTCGCCACACCTACCTTCTGGCATCTTCGTGGGGATTAAATGAGACTGTGAACATAAGAGCCTAGAATAGTGCCTGGTACTCAGCAAGCCAATTCAACTGTTATTAACATGCTGCTGTGTAAAGCATTTTAAAGCATTTAAAACATGGTGGAAACCTAATTCCATATCTTAATTGATAATCCTTCAAAATTCAGAGTGAGCTAAATCTGAAAAACACGGTGAAAGAAAATTTATATAAATGTACTGTGAAGCATTCTTCTTTGAGTTAGGTTTTGTGGAAGTTTAATTGCCCATCAGGAGCCCCTGTACTCCTAAAACTTGCCTCAAATGTTTTTTGGTCTAAACCCCCTTGGGGATAGCAAAGCCTCCTCCCTCTAACATATTACTATAAAACATAGGTGAGCAGACATAGTGCCAAAAGTGCCAGAAAGATCTGGCCTTGTGTTTTGAACACAGTTCTCCTGATTATAAGCCTAAATTATGATTTATTATCTTCCAAAATAAATGCAAGAGGAGCAGCCATGGAAGGCAGCTGTATACCTGTCAGTCTACCTGGCTTAGACTAGTTCCAATGAAACCCAAATTGAGATTTGAAAGTAAGTATGACTGATTCTTCATTTAAAATAGTAAACAATATTTAACACTCTGCTCACAATTTCAGGTATGCTATCACACAAGTGCAATTTAAGATTAGATTTTTTGTTGTTGTTTAAATAAACCCATTTCGTTAAACCTGGCGATTCGGTTTTTTAATTTCCCCATGAGTTAATGCGAGTTAATGCCACACCTCAAGCTCCACTACTTTCTACTTAAGGGAAAGGCCTCGGACATACTACACAAACGGATGGCGGCCAGAGTCCAAGCCTCCAGGGAAGGGGGTGGTCACATTCCCACGCTTGGACCCGCGGCCAGCCTTTGCCCAGGGCTCACCCGTGGGTGGCACAGCCCTCCTCGCCACCCAGCAGTGACCCATCTGGCTAGAACATGGACTGCGTTCCAACGAGGATGAGGCTGGGGGAGGGGAAGGGTATCCCCGTGCCTCCCACCAGGGTTAGCTTACTCTCCCCGGGTCAACCGCTCGGCTCCCCTCTCCCAGGGGCCCCCCACCTCACCGCCCGGCTCCGCACTCCCTGAGTCTCCTCCATCGCTCGGCTCACCACTCCCCCGGTCCCCACCACCGCCCGGCTCCCCACTTCCTGGGTCACCCCCATTACTTGGCTTCCCTCTCCCCGCGTCTCCCCCATTGCTAGACTCTCCTGTACGAGGGTCTCTCCCAACCGCTCCGCTTGCCTGTCCCGGAGTCTCCCCTACGGCTTGGCTCCTCAGTCCGCAAGCCACGCGGGTAGATCCCCGTCTTCCTCCGGGTAACCCGGGGCGGTGGCACTCACCGCGCGGCTGGCAGGCGCTCCTGGACGGGGCGGGTAGGAGGTCCCCGGCAGCGGTGCTGGTGGCGGCGGCTCCTGGCTGCGGCTCCGGAGCCGGCCGAGTGGAGCGCAGCCTCCCGCCCTGGCGAACCCCGCGTGTCATTTGACCATATAAGGAGACAGACGCACGCCTCCGAGGCGCCGGCGGCGCGGGCTCGGCGTGCTGGCACTGGGTCCCGGGCGCAGGGGGCGCCGGGGCGCGGGGGGCGAGCGCTTTCCGTCTGCTGGTCGTCGCGCCACCTCCCCCAGCTGCAGCGTGCACGGATCTCAACTCTTTGTTGGCTTTGGGCTTTTCCACGTTGCCTCGGGGTCTATAGCGCACCGGGGTGACGTGAGACTTCGCCCCTGGCCTTGCCTCACAGGGGCGACTTGGGAGCGAGGGCCACGGGCCGCCGACGAGGCGACTCAAGACCCGCCGGGGAGGAATGGCAGGAATCTGCCGGGTTCACGGAATGAGAGGCAGGCCTAAGCCTGAGAAGATGCAGGTGAGGCGGGAGGAATGGACCTGGACCGGGTCACTCATCTGGTCTTTCGAGGGTAGGAGGCACGCGCCTGAATGTGTTTGCTTTTTCCGCCTTATCCTGCAGACCTCTCTCTGTCACGAAATGAACGCAGCAGATGGCCAAAAAGAATGAACAATGCCAGGTTCTTTGTTCTGATAGGGGACAGGGAAAGGTCCAATCCCCAACATTTCAGGGGCTAAAGGGCTGTTTATATGTTCTGTTGTCCTCTCCAGGGAGGGAAAACAAAAGTGAGATGGAGAGCGTGCCTCCCACACTCAAAATCCTCTGCCCGAAGCACAGTTTGGACTGATGGTACCCTGCAGCCTCCCCGGAGAAAAAGCACAGGCTGAGTCCCATGTCTGAGCAAGGGGCATCTGGAAAGAGACGTTTGCTCTCGAATAGGTGGCTGGCCTCTACGTGCAGACGGGTGGAAGGTGAGCTGATGGACAGCGAAGGCACAGTAGCAATATCGTCGGTAGACGTATTATCTTTAACATCCAGTGGGCCTCGGAGAAGGAAGAACTATTAGATTGTTCTCTTTTGGTTGACGCTTAATGTCTGGTGATATTTTAGAGGCTCCCTGTGGATCTCCATCATGGAATCAGAATTTGAGAGCCATCACATTAGCTGCCACTTACTGAGCACTAATTCTATGTGTATCTCATTTGATCCTCACGCATTTGAGGTAAGGGGTTTGTGGTGAGGACCATATCAGAGAGATTTGCTCATGGCCTCCTGAGCAAGCATTATGCCAGCTGAAATTTGAACTGGAGTCTGTCAAATGGCAAAGCCTTGCAAGTATCTTACAGGGTATGAAATGCGTGTCATCTCATCCGTTGTTCCAGTGCCTTCCAGAGGGCTAAGACAGGAGCCCAGCCAGAACTGGGTGGGGAAATCCAGTCTTTCCTTCTCCATTCCTCCCAGAACCCCACAACTTCTCACCAAGAAGGGAAGTACCCTCTCCTGACCTGAATTCCCACTGACAGTCAAGGCTACTGTCTCAAGACGAACTGTGCGTAGAAAAGTTTTTTCCTCCAGACTTGTTTATATTGTTGCAAATCACAAAATAATCTCCCAATTCTCAAATGACGAATATAAAACTTCAGTTTTTAAAAACAAGTTTAAAAAATAATGAAACAATTTCTGCATTTATCTTCTTTTGGCTAACTTAATTTTATTATTTTATTTAGCTTTCTGAGTTGTGTTTTTAACTCATTTATTTTCATTTTTATTGACATAATTATTTAGTTCTACAAATCTAATAATTGCTTTATCTGTGCCATACAGATTCTGAAATTTTGTATTTTCTTTATTAAGAAATTCTGCAATTTACTTTTTTATTCTTTTTTGACTTAAAGGATAGAGGAACGTATTAAATGATCCTATGAAGATGTAATCAGCAAAATCCAGACTCTGGAAGCGAATTTACCCAGTTTCTACAATAATGTCTAAGAAGAAAGAAAAAAAGGAAAGAAGAAAGGAAGGAAGAAAGGAAGGAAGAAGGAACAAAGGAAAAGGAACGAGAGAAAGGAAAGGGAAGGAGCGAGATGGAGGAGGAAAGAAAATATTAAAAAAGACAACCAACTGCAGTGAATGAATGGAGCGTACTTGGGTTCTGAATCAAAGAACAAACTTTAAAAATTAAATTTTCATGAGACGAAAATGTGATACTAATAGGATATTTGATATTAATAAATTATTATTATTTTTTAGGTGTGATAATGAAGTCACACACATTTTTAGAGCCCTTACTTTTCAGAAATAGTATGAAAATATTTACCAATGAATCAGCCATGGATAAATAGTAACCTCTGAGGCTGGGTGATGGGTATGTGGGGTGGGGCTCTACACTAGTCTCAATCTTTTTCGAAGGCTTGAAAAAGTCCATAACGAAAGTTTTTAAAATTATAAATGCACATAGCATTTGCCCCTCATCCAACATTTCCCCTTACAGGAAATTATTGTACCGATTGACTTGCTCATGTATAAATTGATATACATACAATAGGAATCATTGTAGAAATGTTTGGAATAGCAAAATATTGGACCATGTTATACGTTCATCAACAGAGTCTAGTTAAATATTGTATGGTACATTTTAGAATTATTTTTAGATGTATCTGTTAAAAAGAACAATGTAGTTACATTTATTGATTTGACATGCTGTCCAAGATATATCAACTAAAAGAAAAGTTGAGACCACTTATAGATAGTAACCAACCGTTTGTGTTAATAAACAAAGAAGAGAGACAATATAAACATGTAAACCTAATAACTGTTTTATCTGTGCCATACAGATTCCGAAATGTTGGTTTTTTTAATTATTATTTTAAGAAATTTTACAATTTAATTTTGTATTTCCCTTTTGTCCTAAAGGATAGAGAACATAATAAATGACCCTATGAAGATGTAATCAGCGAAATCATGTGTTTGCCTCTGGGGAAAACGTGGGGCTGGGGCTATGAAGTGAAAGTGAGATTGATTTTTACTACATGCCCTTTTGTTTCTTTTTAATTTTGAGTTACATAAATATATTATCCATTCAAAAATAATATTTTAAAAATTAATGCAACACATACTCCTTTAAGAAACATCAGAAACAAATTTGTTAAACTGAGTTTATAGAAAGTCAAAGGAGGTTTGCTAAAAATAGAAGGAGAAAAGCGATTCCAGGCTAAATGACATATACTTTTCTGAACAATTTAAATCAGAGGACAAACTATTAATAAAATAAATTTACACAAGCTATTCCGGTAAATGTATTTTGAAAAGTTCTACCTTCTATACCATTGTATTCCCAAGACCTAACTACAGTGCATGACACATAGCATGCTTAATAAATATTGATATGGAATAAATGGATGTATCACAGAATTGTGACAAGTCTTTCATTTTGAAATCGCTTATAGTATAACGAATAGAATAGTGCAGAAAATATAATGCAATCTGTGGCAGTACAGCTCGATCTCTGGAATCAGGCCTGAATTTGAATGCCTGTCTAGCTCTACCACAAAACCCTCAGTTTGCTCAAATGTAAAATGGGCTAATAATATATACTTTAGAAAATCGTTGGGAAGATCCTTTCTCATGATACATGTATACTGTTTAACCACTTATTAGTTTAGTCCTTGGCACATAGTAGGCCTTCAGTAAATATTAGCTTCTATTCCATGGTATTTTATTAGATGGTAAAGGGGAGATGGATCCAAAATAAGAAGGAAACACAAAGGTGGTTAAAAGGTACAAACTTTCAGTTATAAGAAAAATAAACACTGGGGATATCATGCACAGCATGGTAACTACAGATAATACTATAGTGCATATTTGAAAGTTGCTAAGAGAGTAGATCTCAAAAGTTCTCATCATAAGAAAAACATTGTAACTATGCATGGTGATGGATATTAACTAGATTTACTGGGATGATCATTCATAATATAGATAGTAGTAAATCATTATGTTGTACACTTGAAACTAGTATAATGTTATATGTCAATTATACAGATCTTAATTTTTAAAAAATGAAATAATTTTCATCGGAAGGAAGGGTTAAGGTTTAGGTCCTGTTCTAAAGATGAGATTGTCTTTTTTTTTAAAAAAAAATCTCTGCTGTAGATAAAAGGCTAGTTCACGGAAGAAAAAAATTAAGAAATTATATTTTCTGAGAAAGGGATCAAGTGGCAACTGATAGGTTGCTCAAGCTAATCTCCTATTTATTTTGGTTCTCCTTCTCCAGCAACATGGTCCTAACTTCTTCCTCTCTTGTTGTGGGGTTTCAGGGAGAGGCGTAGCTAGGAAGGGAGGGAAGAAAGGGAAGACTTTGTGGCGTAGGACAGGAGTTCTCAAAGTGCAGTCTGGGCCCAGCGGCAGCAGGATCACCCGGAAACGTTAGAAGCAAACATTTTCGGGCCCAACTCTGTTTCAACAGGTAATTCGGATGACTGACAGTGCTTCTGGGTAAAATACCCGCTAGGGATTCCAGCTCTGGACTCAGTAATTTACCTGAAACCTAGGAGATGTCGGTTTCTACAGGGGGAGGGAGTAGGAACAGACATAGACTAAACATAGGCCAGCCTCAGGAACTCCAAACTCCAATTACAAGTATTACTTAACTCCGTCAGGTACTTCATGGGAGGGAAATACAAGGTAGAAAACTTACAAGGCGAAAAGTTCCAGCCTGTGTCTCAATGATACAAATGCTGACACAATTCTCTCCACTGAGAATGTCGAGAGGGAAAGAAAGGCAGAGCTCCTAGGAGTGTGCCAGCACTGCAGACCAGGTGGTAGGTAGTCAGGTGGGCCAAGGAGGCTGGCGGACCAGGCCCCACGCTACAGGCACCAGGAGACCTCACCATCATGAGGAAGAACAGGAACCCATGAACACATGAGGGAGTGGTGGTAGTGGTGGTGGTGGTGGTGGTGGTCTGATAGCCTTACATTAGTTAGCCTAACTGACCGTTTCAGTGAAGATTTTTAGAGCTTTTATTCCATTCAAGAAATAGGAATTCTCACAGGCATTTCCACCCACTCAAACCTGGGCAGGAAACTGGTGGATGATTTGCCGTTGATTCAGAGGTAATCATTCTTAATTGTCTCAGATGGTTGGAGGGTGAGTAAGTGTCTCAGATCATAAAAGCTGGTGGTCAGGATCCCAGGTGGGTAGCAGGTGAGAAGGAGCCTCCCCATGACACAGCTCCCAGACCCCAGTATGGTGGCTCTGACACCTGGGCTCACTTTTCCTGAAAGTACTACTTTCCTGAATCAAGCAGAGAAACCTCTACGGAAGGGGACCCTACTAGCAGGGTGGTCACCTACCTGTGCTCATGCTCGGTGCAAATGTCCTCCCCAGCAAAGGAAAGAACTTGGTCTGCTACAGCCACATTCTAGTAGGACCCAAACATTGTTCCCTTGACTGTTAGACTTTTAGGAAAAGCTCAGTCCTCCATGAAAACCAAGCTCTTTTCCTTCCCCTCTCTCCTCTGCCATGCTCTGGTTAGGAGGGAAAATGCTTAGGCTCTTTCTTAAGACGCAAAGTTTCCATATCTTATTTCTTCGCTCTCTCTTTTTCACAAACCGATTTAGTGGATGCAAATAGTCAGTGTTTGAAGGCTGAAAATATGTCTGACTCTGAGCCAAATCCACAAACAGCTCCGTGATTCTGAGTTTGCCATCACTGGTTAATCTGATTTGGAGCATTTGATACAAGTTTCCATGTGGCTTTGATAAGTCATTAAAGAAGTTTCTTTTTGGTGGCTTAATGACCAATAAAATGAAGCCATTCACACCGCAGTTGCGGTCAGTTGTGGGTCAGGAAATGCGGCTGGAAAATTTTTAATAATGTGTACCCAGAAAAAGTTTGCTTCTTGTTTGAGATCTTTTGTCTCTGATTTTAATTCTTTTTTGCAGTAACCCATTCACTTCTCTACTTGCCAGCAGTTTTTTTTTTTTCCCCCTTTATGAGCTATTCCAAAAGCCATTTAAGAGAAGTGTGTCTGAGGTCTGTGCAAACCTGGCAGCACCCTACTTTGAATGAAACATGTTTGCTTCCCTAAAATACCTGAAACTCTTGTGGCTTCTGACACTTCTTCCTGGCATCTCGAAATGGGAGCTTTTCATGCCTCACTTGTTTCTCAGAATGTTGATTTTAAACTACACTGAAATCTGGATTTTCTTTGTGAATTAAATTTATGAGTCAGTGCTGCAACTTTAAAATAGCAAGCTCTTTCTCCCCTGCCACCAAAGTCCTTTTGTACTATTTCTGCTTTAATCAGAGTCATTAATAGAAAATCACTGGTCTAACTAGGAAGACCCAGGGCAGCCAGATCCTGGGAGAGGGAGTGGGGTGCGCTGCACTCCAGGTCCAGCTTCCTCTGTGGAGCAGTGTGTGCACCACAGGTAACAAATACTCTTAACCTTTGTGAGTATCCCCACCTCACCTGTGAAACAAAGGATGTACCACCTCTCTTCTTGCCTTAAAGGGTTATTTCAAATTATTTAGAGTTTCTTCAAGTCATTTTTACTGCTAATCAATAATTGAACATTTTCTAGACTGTCGCCTGTGGATTATTCTTCACCACAGTGTGGATTTGTGTATAATAAAAAAGCTATTTTTTAATGTTGCTTTATGTTCTTCTAAAAAACAAGTTAAGAAATAACTTTCACCTATTTCAGAAAGTGCTTTAACATTGGACCTGAGAGTCATGACAGAGCTTTCTGGAACAGCCAAGCTTCTTTCTACATCATTGCAATAGTAATTGACTGCTGAAATACCAGGAAAAAATTTTCTAAAATGTCTGACCTTCGGCATATCCTGGCAGTACTATGTGCCCCTCCAAAAAAAATCTTTTGAAATTCTGGGCTATCCTAACTGCCACATAGTTTCGGAAACTTCTGCACAGTTAGAGATGCTGAGCAATTACTCTGTAACAGTCCCAGATGAGTCACCCGCCTCCTCACGGGGACAAAAGGGGCAAATTACCATAGGATACCTAAAAAACGTTCTTAAACTTGAGATGACTTTTTCTTTTTCTTTCTTTATTCTTTTGCCTTCCTTTCAACAACTTGAAATTATATTTCCATCTTGCAGATGGCCTTGCCGTAACCCAGCTCCCTGCCTCATTAACATTCGATGAACTCAGTTCATTCTTCCGCCCTGTTTGCGTGGTGGCTCTTTCTCTATGTTGAGATTGGCCCCTCGAGTTTCCAGATCACGAAAAAAGCAGAGGAAGAACACGCTTGAGAGGCTTATTTTTCTAAGAATATGTTTGGATTGTTATCAGGTCAGGAGAGCAGGGGCTGCGATCTTTGAGACCCCTTCCAGCTCATTCTCTTTACTCCCACATGTTCCACCTGTAGCCAGTGGGGGAAGATGCCTTTCTTCATTCTGCACTGCCTGGCAAACTCCTGTTTATCCATTGAAACAAAGATGAAGTGTCTCCCCTAGAAAGGCTGCGCGGGGTACCCATTGATAACCTCATTTGTGATCATTCCATATTATCTCATCTTTCCCTCGTTTATAACAACAAAGG